AGAGAGAGAGAGAGAGAGAGAGAGAGAGAGAGAGAGAGAGAGAGAGAGAGAGAGGAAAAAGGAGGGAAAGAATGAATAAGAAAAGTCGCGGATGTTTAACTTGGTAAACATCGCGAGGTAGCGGGAATAAGTAAAAAAGCGGTCGATCAACGAAGATATTGCGTCTTACTTCCTGCTTGATTCTAACGTTCTCAAAGAGATCCGATCGCGGATTTCTCGGCATTGAGATGCAACAGGAAAAACGGAATAACCCGATTTCATTATCGTTATTCGTGCATCATTGACCATCCCTCTCCTCCCCATCCCTGCAGCGTGCCACTTTTTCTCATTAATACATATTTCTTTTATTTTGTGTCTGTGACTTTTTGGTCGTAATCTTTGCATTTGTTTAGCGCTTGAGGGAAGTTTGTCTTAAGGCGTTATCTCTCTCGCTCGTGTCTATCTACAGATATCTATTTATCTGTCTATTCATCAATTCACCTCTCTCCCTTTCTCTTTTTCTCACACGTTAAAATGCCGGATATTTCGCGAAATAGCATCAATAACGATGCTACAATGTGATTATCTCAGAATCAACGAATGAGATTACAACGTTACTTTCATCGGGATCGACAGTAACGTATAATCTTCGTGGATGACTCGGAAATTCCCTGTACTTTGCCTGCGATACATAGAAATGTACAAATTTACACGTTACACGTGCTCCAAGATGCGATTCAATGTGTGAATGTGTTATGTCGCGACATTTCTTGCGTCTGTCATCTCTATTCACGTCAAAGTTTCTCATCTAATCACTATGCGACGTTGTTTCACCTCTAATAGAAATTTCGAATCATTTGTATTATACGCTTTTATCTCGTGCAAAAGTTATTATTCTTACTTCCTCACACTCATCTATATACACACGTGTATATTTGCAAAAAACGCCTGATATTTAAAGAAATACATCAGTAATGTGTCACAGGTGCTACGATAGTCGCATTTCACCGATATAAATAAGTAAATAAAGTAAAGAACACGCAAAGAAATATCGCAAATACTTCGTACACCTTCGTTAAAGGTCAACTGAAAAAGAAAGGAAATGAAACAAACAAACTGGTTCGCGTTCGTTGTTAGTCGAAGAAGAGGGAAGCGCGCCTCTTCTTCTTGCCCGATATCGCGTGCACGGGAAGAAAAAAGTGCGAATCTCTCTGACGACGACCACGCGATGTGTGCTGTGTTACAGATCGATCGTGCTGTGATCTTGATTAGGACAATGCGGAAACTGGATGCGCTATCGGGCAGCGACCAAGAGTGTGGCGATCGGGAGATGTATATCGACCTGGACGACGCCTCCGTCGACTCGCTTACCGGGAAACGTGGTCGCCACCATGTCGAGGTATTCACTCGCCTTTCTCTTTTCCCTTCTTCTGTTTTCTCCCTTGCCGAATACTACTCGCACACACAGCTGACGACAAGGATGTTCGCAAGAGATTGTATGTGAGATATGCGATGTAGGCGAGATTGGAACAATCTGGCCAATGCGTTTGGTTGCATGTGTATTTATTGTGAAGGAAGGAGAGAGAGAGAGAGAGAGAGAGAAAGAGAGAGAAAGAGAATCTTTACCATTAGTAATCATAATATTTGATTGCATGGACACAATGCGCTCTTCGTCATAATGAAAAGATACATCTGATAAGTGCCGAAGAGTGTCGTGTGAGACGTGACGTGTCAGGGAATACTACTCCGCGCATAGCGACGCGGTTGCGACAAAATTTATAAACGCGACGATACGCATATAGCGCAGCGCAACACATTGGTCATGAGTATTATAAGAATCATAAAATTACACTGAAATTCTGTGAACAGATCAGAGCCTCGCGGTAAAGGATATAATCGTGTACGCGGGACAACATCATCTCATTATCGGCGATTGAGTTGGTAAATAATCACTTTATCAGCCTTGTGCAGCGGCAAATAAAATTGCTAACGTTTTATCTATAGTACAGTTTTATCGGTTAGACAAACATCCTCGCAGTTCTCGGATTATCGGAAAGAGATACGCGGGAGAGAGAAGGAGGAACGTATTCCCTTGTACGAGCACATTTCAATATAATTTGATATACGATACGACGAGATTGTCAAATCTGTCAAAATATATTACTGAAACACGAATTACTTTTCGTTAATATTTATACATTAGCATATTACACATACGAATATGTATTATCAATTTGTTGTTGGAAACAGGGGACCTGTTGTCCAAAATTAATTAGCTAATTCCAAATTTGCTAAAAGAATTAAGAAGTTTAACGGTTCAAATAAATATTCATAGGAAGGACATTAACCTTTTCTTCTATAGAATTTTCGCGATATAACCAAGTCCGGTATCTTATCGTTAAATTGTAATTTTTGGACATTGGCCTATATTTTTTTAAGATACCAATACGAAAGACGATAAGAGTGCACATTATAAAAGATTCGCAAGCACAGTCTGCCGCGTGATAAATGAATTGAGGAGTCGCGGTTTACCGACCTACACAATGCATCCGAATGCAAATATTTCCATTCTTGGAAGTTCCCAGATAGAGATCTATTCGTATTATCTGCATCACGGTAGAGTAGCTACATAAATATTTGAGAGAGAGAGATAGAGAGAGAGAGAGAGAAAGAGAGAGGTATCTTTTCTGTTATGAAACACAAACGAACGCAATAAAATAGGTAGCCGAGGAGAGCGACAGCAGCGGAAGCGAGAGGAGTCCGAAGCAGGCGAAGAGACGAAATCGCGGCGCGCCACCGACCACGAGAAGACGGAAAAGCGGGATTTCCGCGCGCGAAAGGAACCTAAGAAGGCTCGAGAGCAACGAGAGAGAGAGAATGAGAATGCATTCGCTCAATGACGCCTTCGAGGTAAATTCACTTTCTCGTAAAACACTCTTTTACGCTGTTTTAAGATTGGTTGTCTATGCGAAAAGTTTGAAAACATAAATATTCAAAGCGATCAGAGCGAACAAGACTCGTTATTGCGTATTCTGTTGAAATAGCAAAAGAAATTTTATTTGAAAAACTGGAGGAGTTTCTTCTGTGTTTTGTTGCGCAAGAAATATTGTGTCAATCGACGTTAAGTTAAATTGATGATTAGTTATAAATTGAATTCGATACAAATGACACAGAGTATAACGAAAACGACTCGAGCGTAAGATAAACGGCTGGTAGCTCGGTAAACTTCAGCTTGATAAACGATTGACTCGATGTGCATGTGTGTGTATACACGCGACATGTGAATGAAAATGTATCGAGCAGATTCAATTTCGTCGCAATACGGCGCCGTCGTTATGCGCGTTTATCGCGAGTCCGCGACTCGTTACGACAGGCTCTCAATCCATTTGTCCCGTTGTAATTTCCAGCAATTGCGCGAGGTAATACCACACGTAAAAATGGAGAGGAAGCTCAGCAAAATAGAAACGCTCACACTGGCGAAAAATTATATAATGGCGCTGACGAATGTCATATGCGAGATGCGCGGCGAGGAGCGGCCGTACACGTGAGTATCGCTCTAGTCCAGTATTTTTCGGATTGCAGCGTAAAAAAGCGTGTCGCAACTGGTGTGTAACTAAATATCTCTCGTCGATCTCGGGACGCTCTTTATTTATTTCCCGACGAGAATGCCCACTATACATTCACCTTGAATATGTCGTTTAACATGTTGACTTGTTGACGCGTTTTCCTCTGTCAATTTTTACACAAAAGCTTCATGTTGTTGTTAAGCAGAAATCAACGGACGAGCACTTGTTTCAGATTCGTCGATGGCGAATGCGGCTCCAGCAGTGGTGATAGCACCGGTCAATTAGAATTAAGCGGTGGCGAGCAACCCGGCGAATCCTCGCCCGCGTCGATCCACGAGACCAACAACAACAGTCTCCTCCACGAGGATCTCGAGCGCAGAATCTAAGGAAAGTCCGATCTAAACGACAAGAAAGTCGAGAAAAACACGCGTTTAAAGACTCTGTGATAGAATATATCATATTAGTGCCTTCTGTAAGAACTTTTGCGGTGATTCGTTTATTATCGCCACGAATCGTTCACGGATCATCGTCCTTGAGTACGTCGCGCTGCAATGATCAAAACTGATATCGCGGGAACGAGAGAGAGAGAGAGAGAGAGAGAGAGAGAGAGAGACAAGTGTTAGACGCGGCAAGAGAGTGAATACAAAGAAGAGCGAGAGGAAAAGGGAGAGGCGCGAAAAAGAGAAAAAGAAACAAGGAAAGAGGCAGGCACGACGAAGATGAGAGAAAAAGAGAGTAAGACGGAGGAACAGGAAGAAACAGGAAGATTACGCGTATTATATTATATGTACGGGATACTCATCGCGCAATCTTTCAACCGCACTTTTCACGATAAGTTGTAAAATGACATCCTGTCGTGTAAAAAATTTGACAGAAAGCCATTATTTTTAGCAACTTTTCGCTTCTTTACTTTCGCTATGTTGGATGTTTCTCCAGTGGTCAAGCTCTTCTAATTCCAACGAGATTCCATCGAACGAATGCATCGATAGAAACACCAATTAACAGTAACATTGCATCGATATTACTCGCTCGACGCGATACAAACGTTACACACGACATATGTTACAATGACATTGTGGTGTGGGAAATTATAACTCTAATATACTGTTAGTTGGTATTCACTGGCAAGATTATTATTAGTTCGAGCAATAACGAACAGAGAATTTCATGAGTTCTCCATTGGAAGTAAAGATGATGCGGATCCTCCGTTTAGTTCGATAAGAACCACTCGATCTTTAGTCATCTGTGATTCAGGAAGGATTGACACGTCGACATTTCCTAAGATTGTACTCTGTTACCACGACTGAGAAAGTTATGTGTATACGAATACGTAAATGAATATAAACGGGTTGGAAAAATCGCGGCACTCGAATTTAGAACTCTAATTGGTCTCGACGCGCGTATCGTGGCAATTTGTTAATATACTCCTCCATGTGCGCGCGTAATGACCCGCGTTCAGGTGGAGATGCGCATCGATTCCGACATAGAGATGCGCATCACGTTGTACATATATATAGAACGTATCGAGAACATACATATCCAGGAAATATTTATATTCTGCCCGTATATCGAGAAACGCACTCGATAATAACGGTTTATGCAAATTCATCTCGCAATTTCTTTTTTCCTCGGTCGATCGTTCAACCCCCCATTAATTTATTTTCTTGTCAATACACTTAACCTGTTTGCAAGATACTACTACGCTAATTATCATTATTATGATAATTATTACCATTCTTATGTTATTGCTATTTCTATTTTCTCTATTGCTAATACTGTGTGTTTTATTTCTGTTACCGTAACGCTACTATGATACCGTACGCGATTACTATTATTCCTGCTATTACAACTATTGCACAACTGTCACACTCCTACTATTACTCCTACTACCATTATTATACTACTACTACTGCTGCTGCTATTCCTATTGTTATTGCTCTATCCTTTTTTTATGATAGTAATATTATTATTATTATTATTATTATTACTGTTATTCTGTATTAATATTGAATTATTATTATTGTTACTTCATTAAATCGATAAGATTTTATTCTATGGATATTTTCGTAAAAAAGAGAAAGTGAAATCTCGACATTAAACAAGATACTTAAGTAAAAAGGACAGTCGAGTTATTCCACGATATAAATTCAATATACATTCAGCATACATATCAAGTGGATTACCTCGTACACATAAAACATTGATAATTTATTCTGCCAAGCTGTATTCGCGCAACGTGACCGTTGCAGGCGAAATCTGGACATTCATTTGCGGCGTTCAACATGTAATTTAAGAGTGTAAAAATCAACATTACTATACGAAAATGTGATATATACATAACATCTTCCCGACACAGTCGCAGTATATCTGTAATCTGTATTGCCATAATCGATCGTAAATCACATTTCTGCAAACGTACCTCGTTGCAACAGATAAAAATTTTGCATGTGAATATGTCTGAAAATTATATATTTATAAATATCGCGCGCGTTCGTGTGTTTACATATATAAATAATTCACGTATTATCGATTTCGACATAGTTACCAGCCCCTTATTCCTCTTTTGTGCAAAGTCAAATACATATTTATATTAGTTTATGCATTCTTCGAGGAAAGAGAGAGAGAGAGAGAGAGAGAGAGAGAGAGAGAGAGAGACAGACAGACAAAAAGATTCGCAATCTGCGCTGAGAAAAAGTTACGCACGAATACGCGCTACATTTTTCTAAAATGTAAATAACACGCGCGTCATTTGTATAGTTTGTATATGAAAATGTAAATTTCAAGATTAAAAATCACGTTATTTATTTGATTGACAATAAAAAAAACACGAATTTCGTTTTGTCTCGCGCGTATAGTTAATCAATACCTTGACTGCCAAATACGAGTCGTCTCGTAGCTAGCGTGCGAAAAGAATTCTTTGTACTTCATACATCATCCACGAATTAACTTACATTAGTCTTTTTTCGTGAGTCTTATTGAATAATAAATATAATTTATTAATACGTCAAAATAATGTGCTGACTTTGAAACGGCGTTGGAAACAAGATTTTTTAATGTCACTTTAATGTGACAATCAATGTATTATCAAACATCTATATAATGTCAGACATGTGTTGTTGCGCGAGCTAAACGTACACTCTGTCAATCGTAGACATGACATTATTATTTTGTAAAGTAAAAAAATCCTTAGAAAAAATTAAACACGTCTTTGCCTCGAACCCGCTAATCGAATATCAACATGAAGATTTTAAATTGAAGCCTCTTTATGAGAAATCTTTTCATCGCTAATCGGAACCGCAATGATAAAATAACGAATACGAGATATCGTGAGTCGAGTAGTATCGTTAAATCGCGCGATAATGTTGTACGCTGCCGTTGTCGTTTGTCGTCGCTGGTCACAGTAAAGAAAAACAGCTACAATTTATTATCGCTCTTATTAATATTACTATCATTATTATTATTATACTATTGTTATCATCATTACCGTTATCATTGTCATTATTATTATATTTTATTATTATTACCATAATATAACTATTAATATAAATAATGTATTATTGTAGTTTTCGATATCATATGTTTATACGATCTTTTGCGTATGTACGAGCCATTTCCATAATTCCATCGGCTGAAGATAACCGGAAATGCAACAAGGGCCGGTTTTTCAATAGCAGTTTAAACTTGGATTTAAGTTTAAACTCTATTCTAACAATGCGTTTGTTTTATTTAAACCGAGTTTAAGTTGAAATCTAAGTTTAAACTATCATTGAAAAACCGGCCTTAAATGCGTTTGTCACCCGCCTCCCTCCCTCTCTTCCCATCTCTCTCTCTCTCTCTCTCTCTCTCTCTCTCTCTCTCTCTCTCTCTCT